GGATCAAAGACCTGGCCAGTTCGTGGCGAAGACATTAAATGTTTAGCCGTGTCCGACCACCGGTGCTTGCGGAGTATTGCGTACAATGAACAATGAATTTATACGGGTTAAGAAGCGTTGCTTTACAAGCCCCGTTGGATAGTTGGTGGGGATATCAACATAATAATTATGATGAAAAGGATAGTAAAATAGTTAACACTTTAAATACGAAAATAAGGACTTATCGTTTGCTTCGCTGCAGTCCTGCGATCCACTTAGATTCACAACACCCACAGTTAACAACAAATAATTCCAGGGTAAACTCCAGGTGTAGGATGGAGACATAGTGTTAAGTAACAAAGTGTAAGTGGATGAGTGCATCGTCCAACCGTCTTTTAAATATTGTTAGTGTCGGTGCAGAGACGACCGATTCTGGGAGAGCATTCCACGGGTGACAGACACGGATGGAAAAGAAATTTCTGCGGCACTCCAGACGACTGTATTGTTCTGCGAGTTTTAATGAGTGGCCCCTCAGGTTTGTATTGCTGCTGAGTTGCAGTAAAGGGCGGCACACATGATGTGGGTCTCGCAGAATCAAGTATGTCATAATCAGGTCGCCTCGTAGCCTGCGATAGCTTCCACTGAACAATCCTAGTCGTCGCAGCCTCTCCTGGTAGGACAGATTGCGCATTCCAGTTACGTTCTTAGATGCCCGGCGTTGAGGCTGCTCCAGTGCATTAAGGTCGTGTTTCAGCCATGGATGCCAGGCTTGAATTGCGTATTCGACATGGGGGCGAACATACGCACTGAGCATTTGGCGAAATATGGAGCTGTTTATTTGTCCAAACGCCCGCCTCAACAGCCCAACGTGTTGATTCCCGGTCTTCGAGGCCTTTTCCGATTGCCTGGAGCAACCCAAGTCATCTTGAACCAGGACACCCAAGTCACGTTCGAGAGTTGATCGTTGCAGTACATCCGTTCCGAGTCGGTATGAGTAGCTGCCCTGATGTCGGATGGAAAGCCCCTTGCATTTACTGACGTTGAAATGCAATAAGTTTTGGATCGACCATTGATACACTGTATCTAAGTCACTTTGGAGCACATGTTGGTCGGCGTTCGCCTGGATCCTGCGCCAGATCTTGATATCGTCGGCAAACATTAGGAAGTTTGAAGCGATTCCCTGTGCAAGGTCATTAATAAACACCAGAAACAAACGTGGACCTAGAACCGAGCCTTGCGGCACACCACACTCGACTTGTATGGGGTCCGATAAAGAGCTCCGAACTCTGACCACTAATTGCCTTTGAAATAGAAAGTTGGCGATCCAGCTTAGAAGAGGGTCTCCGATCCCGTAATGCTGCAGCTTGGATAGTAGTATCCGATGGTCTAGACGATCGAAAGCCTTGGAAAAATCCAGGTATATCACATCAACACCTTCTCCAGCGTCGGCTGCCTCGGTCCAACTACTGCGTGCAATGAGTAAATTAGTTGTACATGACCGCTGTCGACGGAAACCGTGCTGTTCAGGAGTGATGAGGTAGCAGTTTTCCAGATAACACACCAGTGCATCGGCAACTATGGATTCCATGACCTTGGAGAGTATAGGAAGAAGGGTTACTGGGCGGTAGTTGGAGGGATCAGATCTGCTTCCACCTTTGTGAATCGAGCTTATTATTCCAAGCTTCCACATGGCGGGAACTTGGTTCTGGTCTAAGCAGTGCTGGAAAAACTGAGCTAAATGTCCTGAAGGTTGGTTTGCTGCTACTCCCAATGCCTCAGGACGAATGGCGTCGACACCCGGCGAGCTGTGTTTGCGTAGAGAAGTCAGCTTTTGCAATACAGCCTCTGCGGTAAAATTGATGTGGGTTAGTCCTGGTGAGCAGAAGACAAAGCTTGGTAGATCGCTTGGTGGCAAGACCCTTTGAAACGTGGGGGCGTATTGCATCTGCAGCGCGTTTGCAGCTTCCATAGACGTTCTTGTTGGGCCATCAGCCGTCTTGAGTGGAGGAAATCCTTGCCTCACCTTTCGTAGGCTATTAACGTGCTTGTACAGCAGTTTGTGGTTAGCACTGAAGGTTTTTGCGATGTTCTGCTGATAGGCGGCTTTGTCTTCTCTTAACAGTTGAGTGCAGTGGTTACGTTGGGCTACGTAGTTGTCCCACGTTTCTGGTGCTGGAGCTTCTCTGTACACTCGCCATGCTGCATTGCGTACTGTCATCCATTTTCGGGTTCTGCTCCTAACGAAAGAAACGGATTTGCACTTATTGTAAGCTTTTATCTCTGAAGCCTGTGCAATCAGCTGACTGAATGTGTTGACGAACTCGAGCCAGGCGAGTTCTGGGGGTTCTTCTTCGAGGAAAGACCATGTTGTGGCGCTGACTAGCTGGGCGAGTCGGTCGTACCTTGTGATGGTTTGCACAGTCTCATCGTTATCATTCCGATATTCTGCATAGCAGACGAAGTTGAAACTGATGACTGCGTGATCACTGCGACCCAACGGGCAGTCTAAAACCAACGCATCAATCATATGCTCCTCGTTGGTAAGCACAAGATCCAACACAGATGGCCTGTTACCAGTTCTGAACCGAGTGGGCAAAGTGATGTGGTTGTAAAGAGGAGCAGTAGTTACTAGATCTTGTAAATCGATTTTGAATTGTTCGCCGGTTGTGGCAGGGGCTTCTAAACAATGTACGTTGAAATCACCCATGATAAGAATGTGAGTGTACTTTTGTTGTAAACTGCACCTTAAAGCAGCCATTAGGTGGTAGTCGGTTTCGGGTGTTGAGTTGGGGGCTCGGTACACCAAGATAATAAGGCAAGCGTCCCTACCTTTTAACTGCAACCGGCACCAAAGAGAGTCGGGGAACTGCGAATCTGAATCCTCCACGGCCTCGCACTGTAAGTCGTTTCGGTAGTACAGGATTACCCCTCCTCCTTTTGTGAGCCTATCGTTCCGGATCAGCGACATGCCGGGTAGCGACACTTCAGCGTCCGTCATTCCCGTGTGCAACCATGTCTCGGTGATACGTCTGGTGGGAACACCGGGAGAGCAATGCTGAGATCCGGCATCTGGCTTTTGACAAGGAGTCTTCTGATGCCTCACTCGAGTGTTTGCTAAATCTTAATAGCTCACATTGGACAGACCAAGTCCTCCGTATGCCCGTTGACCGCCGTGCATTATAAGCCGTGGATGAATCGAGTTGGGTGAAAGCGCGAGGTGACTTGGAGGCACGAAGCAATTGACCGAGAGACTTGGTCAGGATATTGCGTTCCGTCTTCTTGGATGGGGCCTCGGGATGGTCCACACCAATCGTTGGAGACCGTATCAAGATAGTGTAGTCAGTGGCATTCCTGCATTCGGTTTCTTGCAACTGGTTGTTAATTTTCGTTCCATTCTGAATACTTTAATACCCTACCTTCTTGCTTTCACTTTACGTACATTCAATCCCTCTAGCTTTCTGCTGTTGTTTAGTGTTATTCTTGCGATGAGTCGTGGCAACTGGATCCACCGCACTTCGGTGGCTGTTCAACTGAACTGAACTGAAAATGACCATATTGATCTCTAAACAACAGTTAATGATTGAGGCCCAGACTGCGTTTTTGATTCGCGAAAGCCTATTATGACGGCGTGCATGAGCAGTAACCAAGAAAACTCCCAGAAGACGATCCCAAAGTCAAGTGCCCTCAAAGTGTTCCATTCCGTGTCTCAGAGTTTCCGATTCAAGACCTGCATTGAATTCAACATACGACACAGAAGTCAAACACGATTCGGGGCATGAGAGAGAGATGGCTCCTGTTACCTTGGCTTGAATCACCGTGAGCATAATTAGTAATCGTGATAAGAGGTAAGATGCGCATCAAAAAGAAAACAAAGTCACGTGATCGTATGAATGTCCCGATTCATACAAATATCAGGGGTGAGGAACCAGTTGGCTGTGAGAATTGAAAACATAAGATGTTTGCAATGATTGTGGCTTAGATGGGATAGTTTGGGTTGTAAGAAGATACGCGTTTGGAATATGGTACTCACAGCCGGGTTACTACTCTATCCAACGCCAATCAGAAATTGCCAGAATCACCGACTGCGGTTGGAGAAAATCGGGTTGACGAAGAATAGTATCGAAAAAAACGTGGTAAAAGATATACAGCAGCCCAGAATCACGTGTCATGGTGAACCCCCCATTGGGTGCAAAACATTAGTACAATGTTGACCGACTTAGAGGCCTTTGTCCAGAAGGGTTACGTGCACTAGCATGATTAAGGCTCCCGATTTCGACGCAACACCGTTAAATCGCAATGTGCTGTTGAGGTCTATGTGGCTCTGATCACTCAGATGCACCGTGGTGCATGAAGGCCCTTTGGAAGTTACTCCAACAAGACAGAGCAACAACAAGAGATAAGACAAACTCGATGTGTTGATTATTCAAGTTAAGGGTAAAAAGAAGAGCAGCGTACAGTTGGGTGAAAATAATGAAAAATCCAAACCATTTCAGGATCCCGCGGTTCACCAACTCAGACTCATGACCAAACCCTTTGTGTGAGGACTGCAATCACTCTCCTGTGCAAACCTGGCCCCTCCCAGTATGCAAGTAGTCATGCTTCGTTGTTGGACGCGAAGCGGTTGATGAAGATAAACAAATGGAGTGGTTGCTAGCAGGCTCAGGCAAGATACAGTTAACTGCGGAAATTTTAAATGCAAAACAAATTTCTCCGGCTTCCATACTGAAGTATGCAATTGTGAAGTGCTGGAACTGAACTCAATTCGCGTTACACTTCTCAGGCCGATGACAATGACGATAACGGCAGCAGCAACGCCTGAAGCTCGATGGCTAACAAAGCCATGTGATGTGCCACTGCGTAAACTGACTTTAAACTGAAGAGGTGATCAGTATCATGAACAGCGCCTGTACCAAGAACTCCAAGAGGCAAAGGCCAATGCGTAGAGATGGCAAAATTCTACACGATTTGAGTAACAAAATGTACAAGCTTCATGCACATCGAATCGTTTATTCGCAACTCACCATATCCGCAAACAAGATGGCTGAGACGGAGTCCGCTATCTCACGAAAACGAGCGTAGTCCAGCCAACGCGAATAAGCACTGGTTCCGGCTATGATTATCTTCGGGCGAAAAAGGCGTGCGGTCTTTTGCAACGCATCGTAATCGATCAGACCAGTGTCCGGGTCCACTTTGTACGGCACCGATTCAAAGAACAAAGAGGTTGCAGACACCTGTGAGGGACCGGTAGTGCACACCAGATTAGAATGCTGATACATTGCTAACCGATTTACAATGAAGCGTAAAGCCGTGACGTCAGTAAGCCGGAACTGGTGTGAAGAATTTATTGGGTCAAGAGCGAAACGTAACAGCACTATAAGCTTATACAGAACGGAGTTACATTCCAGACCTTCTGAATTCCCAATAAGGTCCAAGTTTATTCCGAGATATTGCAAAAGTCGAAACTTACCTTCTTCCCAGAAGGTGCCTGAAACCCATGTGTTAGGTGGCCACCGTCGGGTAGATCCAATCCCATAATGCGACCATGTGGCCCGGCGAGGGCAGTGAGGACAGCGAAATTGGCGGGCGAACCGCTGTGCGGTTGTACATTCACACCCCATTCGGTCGGATCGAGACCAAACAGCGAGAGAGCGCGATTTTGACACAGAAGTTCCATGACATCCACCACCTCATTTCCGCCGTAGTATCTGGACAAAGGAGGAAATGCAGAAAGTGAAAATACAGGCTAATGAAAATCTAACAATGTATCAAGTGCTTGAACAGTGTTAGCAGCACGCCGGTACACCGTACCGATGCTTCGCTGTCACATCATTGGATATGGTATACAGTGATGTCGTCCCCGCCTAGGCAGTTTCGAACCAGTGGCTCTGATCCCATTGCCGGTGGTTATTCGTGACAATGCCCATCACTTTGAAAATTGTCACGGACAGACCTAGTGGCGTGTTAAGGTCAGTAAGAAAGGGTCGTCAACTCACTGAGACGGATGAAGCAGAGACGTTGTCTCTTAGAAAAATGGCGGGCGATGAGATAACTGTCAACAATATTTGGGATACCTCATTCACAGGGAAACTCTTTTGATAGAAGTATAAACACATATATGTCATATTAAGAATGGAATTTTACGCGGGTGGGGTATCACTACAACCAAGCGTTGTTGGGTGGTTCCACTCACAGATGCTGCTGTTTCGGCCCGTGGTTCGCACCTATGGTCGCATCCGATAAATTATCAGCGACTATGAGCTAATAAAATGTTAAGACGCGCATTTTCGACATACGATCGTCATACCCATGCCTCTCAATTTGCGTTTGGGATTTGGCCCAAGTCAGCAGACAAGTTTACCTCAAATACATGTTTGAATTGCCCCATGTCACTCGATCTGCAAGTTTTGCTATCGATGGAAACCGCGATCAGCAATTTAAAGATAGTTACTGATGTGGCTATCAAGAGGATAGCTGCAGTAGCATTGAACACTGATGAGCATTGGCAAATGATGAAACGTGCTGTTTTCAACAGTCTCAATCGCGTGGCTGGCGTGTGCTTGAAGTCTATCATCGAGATGTGTATAACGGGGAAGGTTTTCCTACCTACGGCTGAAAACCGCAATATGACAGGTGAAAGCGAGATATGGGGACGCCGCTACAACGGCTCGATCACGTTGTGGACGCAAATCCAACGGTGCGTTTATGAAAACAAAACGCGAGTAACCGAGCTCGGAATGCGAAAAATAGCTGAACATGGCAGTATAACAGTACGGAGTTTAAGCTAGAAATCCTGTAGGTGGTAACATTTGAGCGGTCAGTGTGTCCGTCCACCACAGCTGCAGTGTCCTTGAGATATCAGCATCGTGGCTCGGTTCGATCAACACACCGTGATATCAGTGCTTGACAACCCATCAAACTGACGGGGTCAGCTGCGAATTAGCGCCGAGACGTGATTAATGCATGAATGATAACATTATGATGTGAAAATAAGGGGTCTCAACGAGGTCGTATAACGCGATTCATGCAGCTGGAGATCAATAACAGATCAATCCCATTCAAAGAGCATGACAAACGGAGTGGAAAGCTGAACTATAGGCAATCGAGTATTGTGTCAAAACATCATAAACGGCTGCACTAAGTAGTAACCGTGTGTGTGTAAAGTCAGAGCGCATAGTGAAGGCGACATCCAGTGGTAAGGTTTGTCGCAGAGTCGGTTTAGCTAGTGAAGCGAGCTCAGCAAAAACGACAGCTTGATAAGCATGTAAGAACCTCGGTATAAATAACTAAGTCATTTCCATAACTAACGACGCTGCTGCACTCATGAGATTCTTCCTTTGAATCAGTTAAACAAACCCGCTCCAGCGAGCCAATCAGCGCGTAGACGAAATATGTGTAACTGTCCAATCAACTGCCCTGTTCGCATGCGGCACGCCTGCCGCTTGCTTGCACAATCCTATCACATCCTTCCCATTTTCGGGATCAGCTGCATCGGTGTCGCAGAAAATTTCATACGCCCATTCGCTCTGCGTCATTTTTGCTGCCTCTGTGGTTGTGAACTCTCCGTAAGACGTCAAGTGTTTTGCCGCAGGTTCACCTCGTTCTCGGTGTCGTCTCAGCTGCACTCAGTTCCTTCTGATTACCTTCCATCCGGTACTAACTTCATAAGATCTTTGTCCAACCTCCGCGGTCGCCACACTTTTCTTCCATCGTTTGCTGACACCCGGTATTGGTTGGATCCACACTTCATCATTTACTGATAGCTCCGGTTGCGCCTGGGTCCCGCGGTCATAATACCGTTTCTGATCTGTCATCCGTTTTCTTTAGCCCCTTTGCAGTTGCTCATGCGATGACGAGACACGAGGTAAGAGTTCAGCAGTCGCAGACACAAACGTTGTACTGGACTGAAACCGAGGTTCGATAATGGCGTATTGCGAATCTCCAACAACATTAGATACGGGTCCTCATAAGTGGATCTGGCTTTCGACAACAACCTCTTGGTTTGTTTGACCATTGCCACTGCTTTTGCGTTAGAGTGACTAGGATACGGGGTGGTTTGTCGATGTGAAAGTTCCCACTTGTTCGCGAAGATCTGGAACGCAGCATTTGTAAATTGCGGGCCACTGTCAGAGATCAGTTCCTCCGGTATTCCATGTCTGACAAACTGACATCTAAGCTTGCTGACAACTACTTCCGTGGTGGTAGCAATGAGTTGGTCGATCTCAAAATGGTCATTGTAATACTCCACAGTGATTAAATAGTCCTTCCCGTTGTCATAGAACAAGTCCACTGCTACTTTCTGCCATGGTCGAGCTGGAATCTCACGCAACATCATTGGTCCCCTGGCTTAGCGAGCGTCGTGGGACCGGCTAGCTGAACAGCTTGATATATGGTCTCGGACTTGACTTGTCATCCCGGACCAGAAGATCAGTTCGCGTGCTCTACTAATAGTGCAGTTGACACCCAAATGGGCTCGATGAGCGTGTTCTAGCACTTCTTTGCGAAGCGGAGGTGGGATCAAAATGCGATTTCCTTTAAACAGCCAACCGTCAACCCGAAAGTTGAAGAACAGTGTTAATTCCCTCGGAAATTTATCCTTTGTATCTGGCTATCCCTCTAAAATCACGTCGCGCAATGCTATGCACGTCGCGTCTGCCTCCGTACGACACTTCAAGTCTTTCAGGCGATCTGTTGTTACCGCCAGATGTTGTACGAGAATGACTGCCTCCAGTTCTTCCTGGTGTTCGTCTATCGGAAGATGGGCTCTCAACAGAGCGTCTGCGGAGAACATTTGCGTTCCCAGGGTGTACACCAGAACCAAGTCGTGTTTCCGGAGCCGGATAAGCATCCGTTTAAGAAGTCGGGGGACACTGTGTAACGGTTTGCTAACTATTGACATGAGCGGTTTGTCATCATCATCATCATCATCATCATCATCATCATCATCATCATCATCATCATCATCATCATCATCATCATCATCATCATCATCATCATCATCATCATCATCATCATCATCATCATCATCATCATCATCATCATCATCATCATCATCATCATCATCATCATCATCATCATCATCATCATCATCATCATCATCATCATCATCATCATCATCATCATCATCATCATCATCATCATCATCATCATCATCATCATCATCATCATCATCATCATCATCATCATCATCATCATCATCATCATCATCATCATCATCATCATCATCATCATCATCATCATCATCATCATCATCATCATCATCATCATCATCATCATCATCATCATCATCATCATCATCATCATCATCATCATCATCATCATCATCATCATCATCATCATCATCATCATCATCATCATCATCATCATCATCATCATCATCATCATCATCATCATCATCATCATCATCATCATCATCATCATCATCATCATCATCATCATCATCATCATCATCATCATCATCATCATCATCATCATCATCATCATCATCATCATCATCATCATCATCATCATCATCATCATCATCATCATCATCATCATCATCATCATCATCATCATCATCATCATCATCATCATCATCATCATCATCATCATCATCATCATCATCACCATCATCATCATCATCGTCATCATCATCATCATCATCATCATCATCATCATCATCATCATCATCATCATCATCATCATCATCATCAACAGTAGTACATCAGCCATTTGAACTGATGCTTCGCTGCCATACAACCATGAGGACCTATGAAATAAAGAATAAGAAGAGGGAGAGAAGGGGGACTTAGCTGAAAACCTTAATACCCTAAGCAAACATTCAGGGTCAAGGCGCCTACACCTTGTGTTAACAACATACCGTCACAAACAGCTGGCTATCGTGCAAAGATAAGGCGGCATCGGCGAGACAGCTTCCTTGCGGCTTTCACTGCCACGCGTCATAATCAGCCATTACCCCGCAGATAACTCAGCACCAAACACACTTTAAACAGACAATCCGATTAGGAGATGGCAGCAGACGCGCCACTGGTGTCGGTTGCGAGCCATGTCCTGTAAAGTCTCGAGCCAAGCACAAGGTGAGTCACGTGGACTCCAACCCGGAAGGCGAGACGGACCAACGGCACCCAGTTTGGTCGTCAGTGACTTCATTTCCCGCTGCCAAGTCAACTTCTGTCCACCTCGAGATTTGCGCCATCCTACACCTGGTAGACTGAACAAGGCCCTCCTAGGTAAGCGGTGACCAGGCATACGTAGCATGTGTCCGAGCCAACGCAACTTATTCAGTGCTATCTGTTGTTCTAGGGAGCTAGCATGATCATCACCACCTAGTACTCGCCTAAGCACATCATCGTTGCGGACACGCTGGTGCCATCCGACACCAGAAATGCTTCGCAAACAACGATGATCAAAGACTTGAAGGCGCCTTAGATCTTCAGACCGAAGGGGCCAAGTCTCACTACCATACAGCAGAACGGCCCTCACTGCGGCCTTGTATACCCGGCCTTTCAGACGGAGGGAAACTCCCTTCTGTCGCCAAAGATGACGCAGATACAAGAAGGCAGCTCTGGCCTTTGCAATGCGTGAGCTCACGTCAGTTTCTATGCGCTCATCATTGCTGATGCAGCTGCCAAGATAAGTGAATTGATCAACCACCTCGAGTTCCTCGTTAGCAAGCGTCAAGGGGTCATCAAGTGGCTCAGTCTCCTGG